AGAGAGAGAGAGAGAGAGAGAGAGAGAGAGAGAGAGAGAGAGAGAGAGAGATCCCCTCATCATTCAACTCACTGTACGACTCATTAATTTATTGACTCCAGCAGGACACCGTGTGTAAATGCTGATATGAGCAACAGTCATGGCTGCTCTCCTCCAGCTCATTGATAGTGACAGAGGTGCTATGGTTGGCTGTTTGCCTCTGTGCAAACTACTTGCGCCTAACTGAAAAATCAATAAAATCTCCGGACAACCTGACACTGATCAGCAGCAGTCGAAGGTCGTCTGTGGCAACCAAATGAGGAGGGAGGGTGTGTGTGTGGAGCGATGAGCCACTCCAGGATGTTTGTAGGACAAGCGTAACAATACTTTCACTACGTAACATCCCTCCCACCTTCCCTCCTCTCCTCTCCTCCTACCCAATTAGGTGTGAACGGAGCTTGTCCTTCAGAAGAAACTCGACTGCCTGAAGCGAAAAGCAATGTACGAATCTGCGAGGATGTTTTATATAAAGCAAACATGTGGGAAGTCAAGGATTAAACAATATAAAACATGGAATTCATTATTGTTCAATCTGGTGGCATTTCAAGTGAAACATATACTCATGAAATTGGCTCCAAAAAGTATGCATTAACACACTTTGAACGTATGGATTATATTGCACTATGAAACAAAATATTAAACCAACTGGTGTCAAGGTGATTTTTATCAAGTCAGTTCTCCTTCAGTTCACACAGGTGTCCTGATTTGTATATCTATAAAAATGTGTCTAGTATATAACAATACTGACTTAAATGTATTGATTTTCAACAATACTTCTAATACAAAAAATAATTTATTTTTTGTAAAATCTTTTACTTGAAAAGTATGTCTGTTCATATCATTACAAAAAATAAAAACTGATATTTTGTTATAGAATGAAGTGATATTCATACATGCCAATGTTAAAGAACCCTAGAAAATGTTACTTCAGAGTACCACACTTTCATCGGATTTTTACTATTCCTGCGGATGCATGTGTTTAGTCAATTTTCAGTATTCCAGCAGCACTGGATACTGTATCCTACAGTGCCACACACTCGATTTAGCATTCCATTTCTAGGTTGATTAATGAACCGGAATTAATAATTTGATCATTATACAAAAATGTAATTATAAATGCTAAATAGCTGCTGTTTTCAAGATGATAACTGAACTCATGCAACAGCAATGTAGCGCAGTACTATTGGGAAAACATTTACTGCAATATATAACACTGAGAGCAGTAGAGAACCATGGGTACAACAGTGGAGTGTCTGATCAGGAAAATCCTAAAACACATCAAATGCAGACGGTGAATATGAGGGGCACAGAGAGACACCCATCTGCTCCATGACCTCACCAGATCTCCCTGGCAGATGCAGAAAGGCCTGCCAAGCAATTAGTACCACTGGTTGACTTGTTTGGGGCCGTCTCCTAGGGGCAAATGCAGCTGGGGCCGTCTGTATGTGTGTGAAACACGGGTAAGACGGTGTGCCTTTTTGGCCTGCTGCCTCTCACGTTTCCATTGTGGGGCAGAAAAAGACTACAGGCTAAAAGCATCTGTAACTGACATTCTAGCCCTCTTATCATTGACATGAAAGAGAAAAACATGCTAACTTCAGCTGAGACGGAAAGAAAAAAATGCTGCACTTTTTTTTCTTTCCTCCTAAATGAGCCTGGAGGACAACGTAGTCGTGTTTTTATTCACCAAGGATGTCTTTACACTTTAAGGCACAGGAATACTACATCTTTAAGGATATACCAGAAATGCAAAGAACTTGAATAAAATACTAACCAAGGACAAATAATTTCATAATCCGTCACATACCGGAAAGTCATGCATTTCAACAAGAGAGCAAGTGACAGTAAATTTGACAAAGCATGATGGGACTACAAGGAGATGAACGTTTTGGCTCTATGTGGACAGTCTCTGCCACCCCAACATTTTTCCTGTTTAAATATGCCCTGAAATCTATACTTTGTGGGAAACCCAAAAGAGCTTGTCTTAGTTTTGAAGGTGCCCTTGAAGTTATCCGGATCAGTGTTTTTCTTTTTTCTTTGATCAGCCAACACTATCTGTCTCTTTTTTTAACTAGGTCAGATGACCTGGAAATCACGTTAGCCTCTTCAAGATGTAGAGACACAAGGAATGAGAAAGAGAGAGTCTTATCAGACACTGTCCAGTGTTGTAGAGAGGATCAGAGTGGAGTCATCAGATCAAAGAGGAGTGGCTCCACACTATACCGTGCCTCTCTCATCTTCTCGTTCAGTCTGCTCACTAAGACCAAAGCTCTTTTGGTCTCCAGATAATACGGAATGTTTTCCAAAAAAAAAAAAAAGAGATAAAGAGCCCAAAAGCATTTCTTCTTGTGTCAGAGCTTATTTAAACGGTTCTATTCAGATCTGCTAAGTGTACATTAGGTTCAAGAACACTTTTTGGCACTTAAGCGATAGAAGAATCTGAAATTCTACCACTTGCTGAGCTTTCAGTGAATTAAAGCTTTGCTAAGATTTATAAGTGCCTTTGACCTTTATAAAATGATTCAAAGGAAAGAAATGAAGTTAAATGGAAATAAGATCTGTGTCAATTTTTTGCAGTTTATGTAAATAAAGCCAATGCTTCCACAAACACGGATTAATGCAATTATAGCCTTCAGACAGTAAAGATCACCTTGAATTTAATTGTTTATAATTTGAATTGGCCAAAACACTTTTTCAAAAGACAAGATAAACAAATCCATTAAAAACAGTAATTAAAAGATTAAGTGATTCCTTTGCTTAATTCTTGAATAAGTGAAATTGCACTGCACTAAGGGTCATTTCAAATTATGTATAAGTGTGTTAAACCTAATTGATTTTAGACAAACATTTAATTTCACTATTATTTAGAGCTGAAATTGAGAGCAGGTATTCCCTTTTTTAAAAACAAGTTACAAACTGATATTAGACTGTCACATGATTTATTTATGTAGCATTCTACAATTCACTTATTTAACTGCTGAAGTGGTTTCTTTACCATTACAGAACAAGGTCATATATGAAAGAATGAACGATAAGGTGGACTGGAGAATCAATTACTTGTTGCACATTATTTTATTCCAACATAAAGGCCTAAGAACTAAACTTACATGAAAATTACGTAAAATGCACTACATTCACGTCGCTGTAGAAATATTAATCATCATCCTCTGCCTGGCGTCCGATTTCGTGATGTTGTTTCACTTGGTTAAGGAGTAAAAATAATGTTTGTGTAATTAAATAAAACGCCGTGAAGTTTCTTTAACGAAAGAACATTCGCTCAGCGTGACTCTAACAAACAGTGTTTTACTCAAGCGAAAAATAAAACACCCCGCGGGCTCGCAGGCTTAACAACAAACTCTTGACATTCGCTTCTCTCACTGTAAAAACACACTCAGTCGCGACGGATCGATAGTTTGAATGGCCTCATTTATCGCAACGCATCCTACAGCACGCAGCGCTATATCTGCAGACTTCCTCGTAAGCCTGTCGTTAAGACAACTGTGATGAGAGCTGAACTCATACAACATGAAGTCTGGCTTGATAAGAGACTTCAATTACCACGCCAAACAATCTCTCCTCTCTAAATTATTCATCTTAACACGCTATGCTTTGGAAGAGATGCTGCTCAGATTCACTTAACTCCCGAGAACAGAGCATCGGTGGAGATAAAAAGATGGAAACAAAATAGTTATTTTTAAAGTTATTTTAATGACAGCAATGATATAGCGAGCGAACGGAAACCGCGGCAATGAAGGTAATTAAATGCAAAACTAATAGAGATACTACGCACAAAAAAAGAAAAAAATACACTGTATTTTTTGATGCAAGAAATTTAGAGAAAACCTAAGTAAAGAAATTTGTTTCTTTAAAAAAAGTTAAAAAGTACTAACCCAGCTTTAACTGCAAGCCATCTTTTTTTCTTTTCTTTTTTTAATTTTCTTTTTTTCCTTTCTGTTCTAAAAACGTGCTTTTATTCTCCTTATATCAAGTGCATGCAGAAGTTAAATCGTAAATATCTTCTGTAAATAACACATGTGCAGGTTGCTTATAGCATCCGCACTGGAGCGTTTCTAAACCCCAATTCATTACAGCAGCTCACTGTCATCTAATTACAATAACACCGAATAACCCGAACGACATATCAGTCGCTAAAAGCGTTTTATTATGTCCTTTACTGACCATAGTCGCTAATCGAGAAATAAAAAAAAAAAGAGTTTTAAACAGAGTCTATAACACCCGCATAAAATGTTGCAATTATAAATATGAACACCGGAGAATTAGAAAAGTTAACCAATCTAGATCATAGTGATTTCGGCATTATTACAAATTGTATTGCAATTTACAATATTACAGAAGCTACACCTCCACGACCATGCGACCATGAGCACACACACACACACACACACACACACACACACACACACACACACACACACCTGATCTTTCTGAGTAGCTATAGGGTGAAATGGCGGTGGACGAATGCAACAGCAGTGCGCGGTCAACAACCTTACAGTGGCAAAAACAATCTCTCTCTCTCTCTCTCTCTCTTTAACACAAATCGTTTAGCAGCCAATTCTTAAAGACCAAAATTGAATTCAATGTAATCAAAAATAAATGACAAGCACCAAACAAACAAGCAAGCAAGCATTCAAAATGTAGCATATTTTCAGCGAATACTACGATCAAATGTACACACGGTGAGATAACAATCACCAAACATGTAAAATCGTTGCAATGTAGGTTAAAGTAAGTAAAAGGTGAAATGTGTGCTCTTAATGTTGTCTGTATAGCCTAACCTGGAGGCGCCGTATCTCGAGCGCTGGATGTTCAGGAGGAGAGAGTCTCTCCAGTGCACCTAGGCTGTGATTGGCCAACAGCACTGACAGCTCCCCCGCTGATTGGCCAGGAGTAGATGCCCGTCCCCCTTTCACTCCAGCTAGAGGACCATTCATAAACTAAACAATTCCAACACTCACGGCTGAGTCTGGACAACTGCACACTGGCGCACAGTTTTCATGCGCAAACACAAGTGAAAAAGATGATGACATGACGCGCGGAGATTTATACTTCAACTGATAGGCTACTGGCAACAACTTAAACCTTAAAACCTTTTCAAGTAGAGTTGGGAAAAGTCGCACTGCGTTGCATCCATCCGTTTCCTGGTCCAAATTTGACGTCTATCCGCTGTGGGCGCAAACTTCATCACTTCTTCCTTTTTTTCTTTTTGCTGGGAGTTGTGCCTCTGGCTCCACCGGTAAGCATTGGATCCATCGGCGTACTGCGAAACTCCGGTCTACAGTCCGGATCTGTGCCCCAATATGATTGCAACGCAAGCAAAGCTGGTTTACCAGCTCAATAAATATTACAACGAAAGATGCCAGGCGCGCAAAGCGGCCATCGCCAAGACCATACGAGAGGTGTGTAAGGTGGTGTCGGATGTGCTGAAGGAGGTGGAGGTCCAGGAGCCCCGTTTCATCAGCTCCTTGAGCGAGATAGACGCGCGCTATGAGGGCATGGAGGTCATCGCACCCAACGAGTTTGAAGTCGTGCTTTACTTGAACCAGATGGGAGTCTTCAACTTCGTGGATGACGGCTCTCTGCCGGGCTGCGCGGTACTCAAACTCAGCGACGGCCGTAAGAGGAGCATGTCCCTGTGGGTGGAGTTCATCACCGCCTCCGGTTATCTGTCGGCGCGAAAGATCCGCTCCCGCTTCCAAACGCTTGTGGCCCAGGCCGTGGATAAATGCAGCTACCGGGACGTGGTTAAGATGGTGGCGGACACGAGCGAAGTGAAACTGCGCATTCGGGAGAGATACGTGGTGCAAATCACCCCGGCCTTCAAGTGCACGGGCATCTGGCCTAGAAGTGCAGCTCAGTGGCCCATGCCTCACATCCCGTGGCCCGGGCCGAACCGGGTGGCGGAGGTGAAAGCGGAGGGTTTTAACCTCCTCTCTAAAGAGTGCTACTCGTTAACGGGGAAACAGAGCTCGGCGGAAAGCGACGCCTGGGTTTTGCAGTTCGCCGAGGCCGAGAACAGGCTTCTGATGTCGGGCTGTAGGAAGAAATGCCTCTCTGTTCTAAAGACTCTCCGTGACCGACACCTCGAGCTGCCGGGACAGCCGCTCAATAACTACCACATGAAGACCCTGCTGCTGTACGAGTGCGAGAAACACCCGCGGGAGACTGACTGGGACGAGTCGTGCCTCGGCGACCGTCTGAACGGTATTCTGCTGCAGCTCATCTCCTGTCTGCAGTGCCGCCGGTGCCCACATTACTTCTTACCCAATCTAGACCTGTTTCAGGGTAAACCACACTCAGCCCTGGAGACAGCGGCCAAACAGACCTGGAGACTGGCCAGAGAAATCCTAACCAACGCTAAAAGTTTGGATAAACTGTAAGATGCAAAAGGAGGACATTTATTGTTGGTGAATATTAAGGGACGTTTGAGATCACAACACTGAAAGTGGAGAGAATGTGATCGTGGTGCTCTCTGAATAATGAAACCAAGAAAATGAAAGATTAAAATAAAACTTAAGATTGCAAAACTTAGCATTTGCTTTTGCCAACGGGACATTGCAGGAGAGAGAAATGAAGGTACATTTTAAACTAAGTGTAATGATTTTGTTGTTTGTTTGAACTGTTTTCACAAAGTGAAAATTTTATTTAAATATATGCACAAGATCTTTAATTGCGAATTACAAAATGTAGCGTGCCAAGTTCAATTTTTTTCATGATGTGATCAAAAATTGAAACGTGTAATAAAATCATGACACGATGAAATTTAAACTTGGCAATTTGTCATTACTTAATTCAAAAACAAAAACTCTTGACATTAATGGGACTGCAAAACATAAGCCGCATGCATAATTAATCGTATAGTTTTGTGATTTGTCTGCGCTATAAACAAAAGTAATATTACAGTGTGTATTTGTGAACTGGCCTTTCAATTTAACTCGTAGAAAACGAAACGTAGAAAATGCGCGTGGCCTGTTGCTCTAGATAAAACGGAGATTTATTAAATAGACACTAGCAACAAAATAAAGATTAGAGAAATAGAGTTTAGCGTAAAAAATGGAAATAATGGAGAGCAATTTGTAAAACAGCCAAGACCACTTACACTGCTAAATAAAATGTAAAAAATAAAACGTAAACAACCGATCTCTCACAATACAACAACAGTAGGCCTGCTTAATTTCACTGATTAAAAAACAAATATGCATCACATAAAATGTTTTAAAAAAGACACTGCTTTTTAAAAAAAAAACTTTTTCGACTGAATTAATAATAATAATAGGCTAATTCTTGGGAGTCAATTAGTTCACTCTGGAAATCCCTGAAGAAAAAAAACTTATATTTTATTATTGATTATAAAAATAACATCAGCTTATTAAAATTAAAAAGCCTTCTGAAAGAAATACTTAGACAATGTTTGCAACAAACAACCAAATAAATAAATAATCTACTAAAACAGATATGCTGTTTTATTCTGGAAAAGTAACCATTTTAGCTCACAATTCTGTTAAACAACAAATTATTATTAATCTAGCTTTTAAGAAAACAACTTTATTGAAAACAATATATTTGAAGTACATAAATATAAAAGGACATTAAGGAAATACGGAAAGTTGATATAGCCTACTTTGTTCTTAAACAGGCAAAACAAAAGCCCAAGCAAATACAGCATTCAGAATAATTTATTCCTCTTCAAGCAGTAAGAATTTTCGTTGGCACACCTCAGTTATAAGCCAATGGTGATGGCAAGTAAAACTTCAATAGCCTTGACCCTCATATGTTATGAACAGTTGAAACACATGCAACATGCTACAAGGAAAGAGAGCACTCTTTTCTGTCTTTGTGTTATGATATATGATAAGATGACCACAAATAGCCAATACTCACAAACTCTGCATGGAAAGGTACAGTAGTTAAACCACTGATGTTTCGAATACACATTAAAGGACCTTGGTTATACGGCTGGTCACACATTTTAGTGTGCACATCTCATGGGACATTTGGAGTCATTTTGATGAGAAACCCTCTTACCTTGGGATCAATGTCCTTAAAACTTGGGTCTTCTTCATCCACCTCAAAGTATAACTCTAGTGCCGTGATGGACAGTGTGCCTTTTACCACTACAGCGGGTGCAACCAGCTGTGCGCTGGTGCTCAGGTTAACAGGCCCTATGGATCACAGAAGAGCACAACGGTTAGTGAGTGTGTGTGTGTGTGTGTGTGTGTGTGCGCGCCTCCCCCACCCTCTACTGCCCTTGGCATAGAAACCATTTCAAAGGAGTACGAAGTGTTTACTTGAACACATAAACTCAACAAGGGCGCATATTGACTTCCTGATAGAACATCTTTAGTTTTAATTAGCTTGGTGGGAAAAGTCTCCAAAGTAAAGCTAGAGTCATTTTAGGATAATAAAGTTGAAGTCAAATGATAACTTCAAACGCACTATAAGACATGATTTAGGATGATTTAGGCTCAATCTTTTTTGCATGCACAATTTTAAATAATAATAATAATTAATAATAATATCTTACCAATGTAAATTAAGTAATGCTGCTCATATAACTTCATAATATTACAACTTTCTTACAGTTTAGCAACTGAACCATAAAAAAACAACAATGAAGATTTGTTAAATGTAAACAAATAGCTAAAGCATTCATTAATAATTTAGGCTATTTAACAATTAATCAAGAACGATTTAATTAAAATATATTTTTAAAAAGCAGATTCGTTAAAAAAAGGATTATCCCGTGCACAATGACATATTTAAGCGCTTCATCTGTCGTTGAATTCGTATAGCCTATAGTCTAGATGTCAAAAAAGCGCTGAAATCCGCTGTCAATCAGCGCTCATTGATTGCGGGCTTTGGGTTTAATCTGTCATCAATCTTAATTTATGCCAGCATGACAATGTTGAAGGGTTGCTCTGGGGAATTTCTGCCGCTCTGCATGCGCAAAGCATCGGATTTGCGCTTGCAAACTGCCGTTGCAGTCAGCACGACCAGAAGCCCGTGTTTGATTTCCCCAAGCACCCTTCAATTCACAGACGCATGGCATGATCAGATAAGTTCATCAGCATGTAATACGGCTGAGAAATAACATGTTTTTTCCTCCCTTCGAAACCGGAACACGTTTCAATTAGCCTACACCTGAATCAAACAGCTTGCTAAGTATGATCGGCAACGACGCGAATCTCCACGATAATTTGCACTTTATTTGAGAGATACTGTCTTTTATTAGGCCTATAGGGCAGACTCACAGCCCAAATAAGATCAACCATTTATAAACGCGTTACTGACGAAAACAACGAGTCAAAATAGATCAAATAAAATCCGATTTAGGCTATGTTCGGATGAACAGATTATTAATGTTAGTTACAGATATTAATCCCTACAGTTTTGCAATTTTCCGAGCTCCGCGTCAAACCACTTAACCAACAAAAAAATATAGGCCTAATTGTGTTAATACAATTAAATGTCATTCATGCTTTTCGTAGGCTACTTTAAATTCAAAACTGTTAAAAGCTTAAAGCTTATTTAAAACATTTTTAGAGAAATCTATTCTTACTTCACCATTGAAAAATATAAGCGTGTTTTTTTTTTCGGAAGAAACTAAATTTCTGCTTTTGGCCGACAGCGAGCATGATACAAATACAAGTGTGTTGTTTAGCTAATAATGAATGTAGACCACATTTAAGCATTATTTTCGTTTATATTTGAACCCATCTATTTAACCCAGGGTATTGCAAATAATTTGATTATTAGTTGTTTTAAAGCATGAATTTATACCCTAGTTCACTGCAGACTCCTGTCACGACTGAGGGCCTTCGAGCGCTGTTCAGCCCTCACTCAAATCTAACCCGATCACAGGCAGCTAATGAGAGGACTGCCTCAGATAATGGTGTGATCCCCCTATTAACGGCTGAGGAGGAGGGGGGTGACACTGCTAGAGCGCAACGGAACAAACCAGAACGCTGCCGTTATCAACGGAGCTGGCAAAGAGCGCGCGCCCAGTACAGAGAGAGCTTCATTGATTTGACCAGGATCGTTCTATAACATGCGCAATGCCGTTGATGACAGGAGCGTTCTAGTTTGTGCGTCGCTAGGCGGCTGTTCTTTACCTGTGAGGTTCTCCAACTCTTTCTCCTCCAAGGATGAGAGAGTGTCGTCGTCCTCCAACAGCAGCTCACTCTCTGAGTTCTGCTTCCCCAGCACTGAACTCCTGATGGACTGTTTACCTTTCAGCACGTCCTCCTCTGGAGCTGCACAAAACAAAACATCACATTCCTTCAAGCGTAACCGCGCAAAAACTTTAAACGACTGTCAGTTTACGTGTAGCCTACTCAGGTAAGTTGACGGCACAAAAGCTTAAATAAAATACGCTTGTTATTTTATTATATAGGCATATGATTATTTTATATTTTATATTAAAACTCTAATAAATAGCATATAGCCTACTTTTTAAACACTATTAATAGGATGTACAATAGCCTATATATTTTTCTGTCCTAATAAATGGCATCAAGTTAACATGACAACAACACCATATACGAGCCGCTATTTTCTTTCTTTTTTTTGTGGATCTGATCTATATAACATTATCCCTTGCATTATTTTAATAGTCAGAATATTAAAACAGCTCATTTGCATAATGACGGTAACTTGTCATGGAGAAATTCATACACTGTAAAAAAATATCCCGTTGTTTTTACGGGAAAAAACTGGCAGCTGTGGTTACCAGAACTTTACCGTCAAAAATACGGTATCAACGTTTTTGGTTTTACAGACTTAACGTAAAATTTACAGTATTAAACCGTAATTCATTATCTGATATAATGATAATTTACCAACCTATTGAAGTATTAATATCTGTTTTGTACCATTGTAATACACTGACAACCAACAACCAACACAGCAGTGATGAGAGTCACATGATAAATCAAAGCTCATCACAAGCAATCTTCCACAAGAAAGTTAATACTAATATATTGAAGCTGCACAGTGTTATTCGCACAAACATTAAACACCATCATCGTAATACACATGACATTTTAAAAATGCAATAAACATTAATTTAACAACATTAAATGTAACATAAAACCCTAATGTAACTGATTAGAAAATAACTAAGAAAACTAAGAAGAAACATAATTATTTCAACAAAAATACATCAAATGTGAAGTGTCATGCAGGGAATTGTGGGAATGTCAATTTACGTTTTTTCACTGTAAATTATACAATGAGTTCTTTTCACTTTCAAAAACTGTAAATTTAACGGTATTTTACAGAAAAAAACAACATTAAATGTACCGTTAGATCTATCACAGTTATTTACCGTATATAGTAAGGAAACTTTCTGTTAACCAATTAACAGTTTTGCACTGTAGCATTTTTACAGTCTTTTACCGTTACAATCACGATCATTTTTTACAGTGTAGTGTATTTGATTAAAATAAGTCGATTTGCATAAACGATGTAGCAGAAATTTCACAGACGGTTATTTAGAACACAGTTCTTTTTCTTTCAAAATAGTCATTTGACCGGATAATTAAGAAATAAAAAAATAAAAAACACATTCAGCTGACAGTGTTCATGATATACTCTATGATTCAATTAGTAAAGAAAATTTACAAAGTATGTGCTTGATTATGTTATAGAATCTAATAACTAATAAGAGATCTAATTGTTAACATTAAATTCGTTTTGAATTGGAATTAAACTGAAAGCCCATGCATTTCCAGACATATATTCTGCTCCATATGCCAAGCTTCCCCCTGACAAAAATTAGGAGTGGCCCTGACTCATTTCAACAGTACATGACTTGAGGTTCCGCATAGATTATTTAAGAAAAATGGTAATCTGTAAACATTTACAGAACACTGCATTCCCAAGTGAGGGGCAAAAATGGGTCTACAGTAGAAACAAAGGCAATCCTTCATCTATGTAAACCGAGAGAGGTGACGGGGCAGTCTCTCATCAGACTGCTTTGGCCTACTGGAGCTTCACAGAGTCCAGTCCTGGACTGTGTGGACGCAGAGCCATGTGACCTCTGCCCCCTGTCTCCAGATACATCACCTGAGGGGGTTTGCATTTGCACTTGAAGCAAAACCCTGAGACAACTCTTTATAAATAGAGCCCTAAACCATTAGAAAAGCAGAGCAAAGAAATCTCTTGTCATGGAAAGTATGCTGGCGCACTGATATTTAGAACGGTCTTCCTGTAATTAACTCTCCCCAGAGAATTTGTAGTTAGCAGCAGTGAAATTACTACCAGCTTCCTAATACATACCACATGCCCGTGTGCTCACAGCAGACAGAGTGGACACAAGGATGTGACTGAAAAAAATGGTGTTACTTCTGTGCATTCAGCCACAATAACATTTAATCAGATTTACTATTGTGTCTGAAGCTAGTTGAAATGTAGTGACTTCTTCCCAATTCTTTCTTTGTGAGAGAGTACAGGCCAAACTGGTAAAAATGTTGAATAAATGTAACCCAAAATAAAACTACGTATATATTATTTCAAATCACAAGTTTCGCGGAAACGTTGTGATGTCCAGCTGCATTTTTAATGTAGTGCTACTAACACTGATGAGAAGCATAGGTAAGAAAACTTAGAGAGAAGAAAGAACAAATATTAGCATGAAGATATCAGACAGTCAAAGAATAAAGAAAGAAAAAAACCATGAAAATGAATCACAATAATAAGATAAGTACATTTGTAAGTCTAGCAATTATGTTTATTATTATTAATGCTTAATATCTTTTTTTAAGCATTTCCTTTGAAGTTTACTTTTGGCTTTGAAATTATATGAGACCTCTGTTGTAGCATTAACTATGCATTCTGCACATCCACTTAAATAATGCTGTCCAATCAATCTTTGGATCCCTAGTAGACTAAAAAAAATGGACTGAAGAACAAATTTACCAGTGCCCTGAGCGAGTCAAAAACCCATGTTGTAAGATTACATTCATACATCAGCTTTACTTAAATAGCTCATTCATTCCCCTCATTCAGCAAATGCTAATGTAAATACGTGCAGTTGCGTTACACTTTTAAGCTCTGTTTCCCTTTTCCGTGCAGGTTCAAATGCTCATTTATATGCAACTACGGAGGCAAAGCAATTAAATTGTCAGAATTAACAAATTTGTTTTTAACACAAGTGCAGCCAGGAGTGAAGTCAGGAGGTGCTTATTGATCACAGGAACAGAGACATTAGTCTTCAGGTATTTACACTCGCCCAACACCGTAGGCCCCACCGTGTCAAATCAATCCCCAGAAAAGATGGTGCTTTCCAGCCATAAATACATATCTTACCAAACTACCACTGTTTCCTGGCTGGCGATGAATGATCGCAATTGTGCGTGCCAAAAAGAGAAGTTTTGATATGATGACGTATTCTGAGTGATGAAAACGAAAATAATTTGCAAGCAAGCCTTTCTATATTCATCAAGAAGAAACGCTGTTTCTTTCAAATGCTCGGGCATGTCTGTTATAAAAAAAAAGAAAATCGTCCAAATGTTACATTTTTATACCAACTAAATTCTAAGTATAGAGCAAAACCCGTATCAGACTACGAGATTGCTGAAAATGACAGAAAATTGTTTCTTAAAAAATAAATAAATAAATAAATCATGACTTTCTTCCACATGTCATGAAGATAATCACAGCCAGATATGACCCTTGTGCACTGTGTGAAAACTTGAGACTTTCATTTCACTTCCGCAACAAATTTAGGGTCAGCAGAAAAGACACAAGCTTTCTATGGAGGAGAGGGGCAGACATCAATGTTATGAGCAGCAATGTTATTTAACTGCTAAAGTATCTTTCAGTTGTCCATTCACTTTCCCACCCTCCCATCTTATTATGAGTTTATTTTGTTAAAATACTAAATTATTTATGAAATATGCTCTTGAGTCATAATAGCTGTTTTTGTGTTTGTCCGGTATAGGTTTTTAGGTAAAGTTAAAGACAATTAATATATGCACATAAATACTTGATGGATGGATTGATTGTTTCCTGCGCTGGATGGACACTGGGGAAGAGTATAATGAAGGGTTTTAAGGGCTCAAAGTTTTAGGTTCCATTTCAAAAGACGATTCAAAGTGTTCCTTAAGGAACACTTGAACTTAACCAAGTCCGAAGTTAGCGAAAGAAAAGGGGAAGAATACAGAGAAGAAAACGTAGAGGACGAAGCAGAAAGAGAGAAATCATTGGTTCCCCTCAGGGCCCTCCATCCAGCTGCATATTATGACCATTAGGGCGGCACATCGGTCTCTGAGGATGCTGGGATTCTGAGCACTTATTGCTTTTAGATCACATTCTTATTGACTTCTGTCACATTGGTCGTTTGTCTTGAGGACCTGTGTCATTCTAAGGGGGGACTAAGCAGTGACATATTGGAGACATTTTTTTTTTCTTCTCAGAAATGGCCCCGTTTCCGAGGGGTGCAATAGGTTAAGCTGTTCAAGTCCAAGTACTGAATGGCAATGATTGTAAAGCCTGCTATCTCTAGGTGTGGCTAAAAACTCATCAAGAAAAAAAAAAATTGTTAAGGAGTCTGTAAAACATTTTAACTCTCATATGCTGTATGCATTGCTGCAGTGAATGAAGGGGCAGGGCTCCTTTTTAACAACCAAAAAGAGAAAGAGGAACGGATGAAAATCAGATGCACTCACTGAACATTTAAAAACGAGGAGAATGTGTTGTACAGAGAAGTAATAACAACATTAAATGAGGCAAGGAAAGGGAACACAAGCCCCTGATGAGTTTAATAACCTCGACTTTACTTTTGATAGCATAAACACCAATCTAGAATGAATAACTCATTATATTGTCATCAATATGTGGAGTTCATTATGGATTATAAGATGCATATTTCAAATGAGATGACGTATTAAACAAAGAAAATATAATGAGAAATATATTATGAATAAATGATGCAAATTTCATATAAATCTAGACATTTCAGGGTGGAAAACTAAAGGCGCTTGTTTTTAATTCCTTTTCTTAAACAAGAGAATAATTAAAAATGCATTCATCTATTTTTTCTGTATGAGATGCAAAAGGAAACTACATTTGCAACAGTATTTTGCCTACATATGTTCTGCAGTTAACAAATATCTTTTCATGCTAAAAATGAGATCTTTTATCTAAATGTTTTTCTTTTAGTCCACCACGTGTATCTTATTTATCCCTAGTGCAATTTAACTCAGACATGCAATAAGTGTTTTTCGACATAAATAATAATAATTTTTCCCTTGCTGTCATGTAAACTATAGCTGTAATGCGTCTCAGATTTTATGATGCATTTTACTATTTTACACATGTTAGTGGAGTAGCAGTAACACTACATAACGTTTTCACATTGTTCTGCGCTTTTATTTTGAACTAGTAGAAATGGTTCACTGATTCAAATCTCTGCACAAAAGTAATTTTGTGTCTCCCATGCTGTCACCCCAATTTTGATGAATTGTTAATCAATCTAAAAAAAAAAATCCTTGTTTTTGAACCAGAGAAATACAGCTATGAATTAAATAAAATGCATATAATATAATACTTATGTATTTTAGGGCAATCCCCCCCTTAAATAGATTAAACATAGTTAATTATTTTCTGATAGTAGCACATAGTGTAGATTCTATGTAGATAAACTACAAACTGCTACTCTTTTGAAATAGTTAACTTCATTAAAAGATGAGTAGCTTGTAACACTGCTGCACACACATCTAACCCAAGCCTTTGCCACTAGCTCTCCCATTAACTTCCCAACTTCACTTACCTTTAATACCAGCAGCTGACATGCATGGGAAGGAAGGAACACAGTGACAATTTAAGAACAATTAGCGATACTTAAATATCCAAGCTAATGAGAGGAACTGCACGTGGTAAATAAACAAATTAGCAGCAAATTACTGTCATAATATTATCTGAGAGACAAAGGCCTCAGGACAGTGAGAGAATGTAATGTAATTGTGTACTTTTTTTAAAGAGGCTTGTTGCACTATAAAGGTTTTACGGTGATTTTAGCTTTAATTTTTACAGCCGTGTACCTGTTATCACGGGTTAAAGCATTACAGCTCGACAGTCTCGGCCGCATTTGTGTGTGAAATAGTGTAAGTGCATGATACTATGTGACTATGCATCACCCACCATGCTCTGCTGCAGCCTTGAGCGTGGCCTCAGAGTGTGTGGAACCAAACGGGTTCCTGATGAAGCGTCGACGTCTCCTCAGGTCATCCTCCCAGTAGTCCAGGCGCCAGAACTCCCGTGGTCTGCTGCCGAGAGGAAGAGAGAGAGAGAGAGAGAGAGAGAGAGAAGAGAGAGAGAGGGGGGGGCACATATGTTAGCAATTAGCCGATGCAGTGAGAAGTGGCACAGGCAACGCTGCATAATACCGGCCTTGTTTTGCTGCAACATTCTTCAGTGCAAAGTGCACAAACTAGAGAATTGCTATGATTAGATACTAATAATTAAGGTTAATAATAAAATATACCTGGACTGTGAAAATATTTGTTGCCAAATACCAAAAATGTGTATTCTTCATTCAGTTTTTAGAGATTGTTTTAAGGGTCAATTTTGTTTAAATTTTCATACTGTACATATTAAAAGAACATGAATCCTATTAATGTCCACCATTTTATTAAATATCTAAACTTTTTAGAAGTTTTTTTTCTATTGCTTGTGTATACTATTGTGTTTGGGTGTGCTATGGTCTATTGTTAATTATCTCAGCAACATTAACATTATGATCAGATAGATACATACAGTGGCCCCAAAAAAATGTTAAATATTTTTTTAGTATTTTTTGAGTTAAATATTTATGAATATTAAATATTTTAAAAGTATTTTAAATGTAAAATAAAATAATCATGGCGTAATACAACAAAACAAATTGTAAAATAATATAATGAATGAATCCTAATAATAACCAAGAGGCAATTATTAATAAATATATGAATAATATAATAAATATGCCAAATTTAAAAAGACACGCGTGTTCTAATTTAAGAAATCACACAGCCACAGAGCTCCAGAAATGTTTGTCCTTGGGAGTAACACTGAAGAGGAGACCCAGATTTTTGCAGCACCTCAAGAAGGTGAGATGAGAGCTAAATACATCACAATGAGAATCAGCCTGCTGACACAGCAATCCAGCACACTCAGACACACACAGAGAGAGAGAGAGAGAGAGAGAGAGAGAGAGAGAGAGAGAGAGAGAGAGAGAGAGAGAGAGAGAGAGAGAGAGAGAGAGAGAGAGAGAGAGAGAGAGAGAGAGAGAGAGAGAGAGAGAGAGAGAGAGAGAGAGAATAAGGCAGTGCTGTGTTTCCAGGCTCATTTCTGAGCCCAGCAGGACTCCTTAAAGCAGGACTGCAGAGAAGAGGGAGCACATTTGACTCAAATGTCCTTCGCCTTCAGCCATTTTTCTCTCCAATTTGCACCTCTTACCACTGTAAAGAAAAATCCAGTTCATCCTCCCTCTCCATTTCTTTCTTTTTTTCCCCATCACCTGCTTTTGTGTTTTCTCTCGGTGTGTGTGAACAGGTTCACTTTTAATGAGTCAGGCGAACAGTTATAACATATTACCCCATTTAGATTCAAAGGACTTTAATTAAAATAATCTCTTCAAATATTCATTATGTTTAGCCCCCTGAGATACAAGAAAAATACATTTCCCGTAGCATAAATGAGTTTAATCTTCAAAAGCTTGTTTAATTTGAAATAGAAAGAACTCATTTCGGGTTAGGGGAGGGAAGAGTGTAATTTGTTAGATCAAATTAAAGTCTTTTTTCTGCTTTAATGCACAACGGCGTGATAGATTAATTACACGCATGCACACAAAAGAAAAAATGATTTTGAACATGAAGAAAATCCGATGTGTGATTAAGGTGGAATGCGATAAAATAATGCTACAGTGAATCTTATTGGGCTGAAAAATGAAGATCAATGATCATATGCCATCCACAGACCCCAGAGCAGGCTGGCGGATCCTCAGAGATTCAGCAAGCGATAGGGGCTTGGTGGGGGGACGACAGCAAATGGCTTTAGCAGTGGCTCTGTAGCCGTCCTCCGGCTGATTTACTGTAAGAGCGGTGAAATATAACTCTCTAAGTCCATTCTGTTCTGTGGAAGTGAGAAGAAGTTTTATCGTGCAACAGGGCCTCCACACCCAGGCCAAATAAATCAGGATAACGGCCACTTAAGAGTCCTCCCCAGTGCTCACCTTCTTTTTTTTAACGCCCGCATACTTTAACAATCGCCAGAAAACAAGCTATTATGACCTAAAATACCATAGAAGTGGAAAAAAAAAACAGGAGAGAAAGAAAGTATTGAAAGGAGTAGTTCAGAAAATAGATAAATCAAAGAGTGGCATTGCAAGTCTTCACAGAATTAATGATTCTAGGTGAAATAAAAACAGAAAGAAATACTTCTGGAAATAGTTATGGCATGCAAAATACACATTTTAAAATCCCATTTAAAATGACTTCTCCGGCGTATGGGGCCAAGAAGGTTTGGGGTACCCGAGCAGTGCAGGTTTTTTCTCAGAAGTGTGATCGATCCGCTCCACTGCAAGAGGCTCAAAACAAATCCCATCTCGTAAAACCGAAGAGAGCGCTTAAAACGCGAAAATAAAAACGAGTCTACACTTCGCTTGAAAAGCTCACCGGCTCGCCTAATAAGAGACATTAATAACTGATTTATTTAAGACAGGAAAGGAGATGTAATGTAAAGGGAGATGTGAGTTTTCCAGGAGAAGCACAGCTCCTTAGAGACCATTTACGGCTCAGGCAGACAGCGGTGCCTTTCTATTAAATGTTTCAAAGGAAATGTTTACACACAGACATGAGTGCAACCAAAAAAACAAAAAAAAAGTCCTTAGAGTAACAACGGATATGTGGGCAATGAATGAGGATCTACTGTAGAAAGTACACGCACAAAACACCCAGAAAATGCTGTCAAAATATTGCATGACTCCAGTCTCAACGGTCCACCTCATCACTAATGAATGAGATTGAAGTACAAATAGCAACAATAACAGCAATACAATAACCAGGGCCTGAACATTTCCCCCCTTAAAAGTGTATCCAACAGACCTGCAGGGCGGCAGTGGCTCAGTGGTTCATGTAGTTTGTCTACAAACCAGAAGGTTGGTGGTTCAATCCCCGGTTCCACCTGGCCAAGTGTTGAGGTGTCCATGAGCAAGACACCTAACCCCAGCTGCTCCCGACGAGCTGGATGGCGCCTTGCATGGCTGACACCGGCGTCGGTGTATGAGTGAGTGAGTGAATGGGTGAATGTGAGGCAAAATGTAAAGCGCTTTCGTGGCCATTGGGTCTGTGAAAGCGCTATATAAATGCAGTCCATTTACCATTTACCTGCTTTTCTCAATTCTGACCACTAATTCTGTTCTGATGGAACTAAATATATATTATGTTCCCAGTGTGATGCAGTTAAGTGTTGGCCTATATTTATATTATTGTTCTATGCAATTATACTTTTAACTTAAAGAACATGTTGTAAAGTATATCAACAAAAATCTCTGCTTTTATTTAAATATTTTTATTCTGAACCATTGATTGGATTTCAGTTTTACTATGTCAATCACTATTTGCGGATATTTTTTTACCTCTTATAAAAAAAGATAAACAATGATTTATTTCATTAGTTCCCATCCACCTATTTTTATGCACATTTTGGGATATCGCATCAAAAACTGCTGGATGAAAATGCCAAGATGCAAATAAATTCTAAAAATGTGCATTAAAAACGTATGTGCTCGTTTGAAAACATGCACATAAACTACGATGGAAACACATTTACCGAAAAATTCCTTGATGCGCATAAAAAAAAGTGACTTTGCGTGATGGGAGGACATAACTGGACTAACCAGCAGAACAATCTTTTTGCACAGTATCTGAAATGCCTGAGAAAAGTCTGTCGTCAAAGTGGTTCAGTGTAATTCGAGAATTTGCTAAAATTCAAACGATACCCAACCCTACTAATCACTAGTATACAGGCAAAAGTTCACTTCAAGAATTAACAAAGTGCAGTCTTCCAGCCTAGGGTGAAGTCAGTGTGTACAAATATTTTGAACAGCCTCCCAAGTCTCAAGATGCCGAGTGGTGGGACCGGTGTGCGTACCCTCATAGAAATCAATGTGAACTTATAGAACCATTGTGCGTCCCCGAGCAACACAAAGTGGTGTTTCGTTCCTGAATGAATCAGCGTGTTTTTTTTATGATACAATAATTCAATGATCCATTCATAAATTAAGTCACTTGCTTCATTCCTGGATGAATCAGCCATCTGAACAAATCGGATGAATGAATGACTCGCTCATTAAGAGAGTGGCTTGCCGCCACTTTAATTTTATATTTAAAGTAGCATTTCATTAAAAAAATTTTTTTTTTTTTTTTTAAACATTAATCTCAGCATTATTTAGGCAGTTGTAATTGCATTGTAAATTGATCTAAATAGATGCAGCTTCTGTGCCACTTCTGCATTGCAAAAATGGATATTGTTGATACTAATTTAATTTGATTGGTAACCTATAGTGTGTTATTATTCTAAATTAATGTATTGATTAAATGTAAGAATCTGACAAAAGATGATGCATACATATAAGCAAAATAAAAAAAAAAAGTCATTATAAAAGGTAAAATGCCACTGGAAATCAATAATATCACCGGAAGCAAATATCGCACATTGTTGAAAAAGTTAATTTCTGTCACTGCTGTGAAGTAACCACCACACAGAATATGAAGTATATGAAAAGCTTTGGGAGTCAGATGTCCACCGCACAAAAACACACAATTATTGTTTTCGACAAAATTATTATTTTTTTGGTCAAAATCGCACACCTCTTGTTGGGGAAGTGAGAAAAATGTCAAGTCAAATATTGGTAATATTCACCTGCTTTAAAAATATTGCTGCAATTTGCTACAGTGATAACAAAAAATTGGGCGATTGAGCGCAAAGCTGCTTCCTTTTAGCCGTGGGAACAATAATTATTTATATAATTATAATTGATATAATTTACCTACATGTTATAGTGAATAATTGGGTTCAGGAATTATTACAAATATACCCAATATTCACAATTCCATGCCAAAATTCAGGCCTGACTAACTCTGCAGAAGCATTTCCATTAAACAACAGGAAGAAACAGTGGTAGGAGAGAGACAGAAAGTTGGGTTCACTCCATATTGTCCCGTCTGTCTGAGAACAGATTTCCCTCTATCTAAGTAGCAGCGAGGTGTTTGCATGTGATAGTTTC